AAATAGAAAGTTTAATAGATCTAACATCTTCTTAATGAAAGTATGCATAAGTCATAAATTGAATAAATCCATTACCTGAGGGCACAGCATCCGAAAAGCACACAAGAAAGAGACCGTAACTGCGTGAAAAGTACAGCGGATTCCTTACAACATTATCTTTTAAACGAGCATTTAATTCCGTATTTCGATTCATAGCATTGATTATTTCTCGTCGATTAACCTGAAACATGACAGATAAATTATCTAAGTTGATTTTAAATTTCATATTAATATAATCAACTATGATAAATAAATAGATGATAATATAAATAAGTAATAAGAAGGTGCAAATTTCAATCTCTTTAATTCAATGCTTATCGTTAGATCTTATCCTCTTCATTGTAAGCAATATATGGAGATACCGACTTTCACGTTTCATAATCTTCGTTCTACAAAAAAAAAAAACAATACTATCTCGCACAGTATTTTTACTATTACCAGGCTTTTGCAAACATTTATGACCTGAGCAGAAGGTACAATTTATTTATACATATCCGAAATACAAAAAAGTTCCTTCGTTCTCTTGAATTAGGTTCAATGAATTCTTTCAAAAATTGCCTTTCATTTTAAATAATTGTTATTAAGTGATCGTTCACTTCTCAGAAAACCTTTTTTAGGATTTCGCTAGAAATCTTTTAGCCTAAATATTTTATTGAAATTGTTATTTTTAAAATTCATAGTAAATAACACAAAAAGTTTGCATACCAATATTATACAAGTTATTGAATTTGAAGAATTCATAAATTTACTGAGATATAATATACGATGGAAATAGGCAAAGTGGCTTTAACTAATAAAGACTAATGTTTTTACCTGAGAACTTACATTTTAGACGATACTTTCAAATATTATGTAAAGGAAACATTTTTGTATGAATTACTTTACAGTAGGAGTAATGATGAAGAATTTATAAGAGAGTTTTGTGAAATCTGTTATCCAAGAAATGATAAGATCATAAAATTGCAATGAATACGCAAATTTGTTTTCAAAAATTTTTTGCACTGCTAATTAATGTCCATTTTAATGTGAAATTCATTTTGAAATAAGGCTTCAATTTCTGATGAATTGATATTTCATAAGCAACATTAATCTCATGTAGCATTATTTTACTTAACAATAATTTGATATACCATTTACATTCAACATCTAAATTAATGTTTAGTATTGACTAAGCAAAAATAAAATTTATTACTGAACATATCAGTTCCTGTAAAGACAAAATCTATTAGTATGACATTTTGAAGACTTCGAACATTCCAACAGTCTTACCCATTTGACATGGAAGTTGTCATCACTAAGACTACTGCGGATTTCGGATAAAATCATAGTACAGATCAAGAGATGAACGATATAAATGTACTGAATTTTTCTTTTCCTACAATATTTTGCAAACCAGTATTATGGAACTTTTTTTCGAAGATTTTCCATCACACATTAACTTTAAGAAGTAAAATTTTATCAAAAGCTGACAAATTTTTCAACGATATCTATTTAGAAAAATAATTGTAAGATTTCTCGATTCCGCAGACTAATGCTGTACAAAAAAAATGAACCTGTCAATGACTTTTATTTCCATACATTGTGCGATGACGGTGATTTGTTGATAACATCCATGAAGGAATGATATCGAAGAATGGTCAACTTCGAGGAGGTAGAAATAAAGGCAAGAAATTTTTCATTCAACACTTTCAGCTACATGGAAATTTTTTCCCGTTACCTTTATCTGATGCAGCAAAAAAAATTGAAGTTGTTAGCAGTTTATTTTAATTGCTTTTATTCCGACAAACGACACACAATTTTTCAGCAAACAGCGAACTGCTTTTTAACCTTTGACATTAAAGTGCTTATTAATGTTTTAAATCGATTAGATAAAGTAAGCTGTACAGGATAACATGACCAAGCTGCAAAATCTATGGTTTGATTTTCCGAACTTCAGATATCCAGAAAAAAACCCAGAATTTCAATTTTAGGTCCTAGGAATGCAAGACGCAACTTCAAAATTTCTAAATGTACAAAAAATTTTCTGTCATGCTAATTCATTTGTTGGTTATGAATGCTGATTTCTTCTGAATTCGCATATATAATCTTTCAATTGAGCATAAACCAATTATCAATTTGATTGTAATAAGAATTATCATAAGTGGATGGGAATAAATGATGAATAGTATAATAATAATTATCATATAAGATTTAACTGAATAACATAAATGATTGCTATTTTTGTAAGAATCTTCCTAGACAAAGATATGGAGAAATGTAATAATGAAATGTGGATATTTGTTGGAACAGAACTTAATCTTTTTTAAAAAAAATTTCGTTTGGAATGCGTTCTTTCAGATCACTATAATAACTTACACTACTTCTGTTATTAATTATTGTGCAAGAGTTAAGTGAGTACCATTCTTACAGCAGTCCTCAGCAGCTCATTAAACACACAAATGGCAATAACTCACTCAGTGATGTTTAAAGAGTTGCGTTAAAGAACTGGAGACGAAGGTCACTGCCATTATAAATTAATTTTTAGTAGTAAAATAAATTGGATCAATGGAAAATGATATTATAATAATATGGCAAAGAAATGATACCTGGTAGTCGGTCCATGAGTCAGTAGCTAAAGCCAATGTGATCAATGCCAGACCTAGTAGGCCAAAAACGCTTGTGAGGGACAGTAGTAAAGGCGAGGACCACATGACCGCACACGGTGACAGCCCTTAGACAAAATGTATATGTGTGTGATGAGACGAGATGATGGTGCGCAGCAACTCCGCACTGTCCTCCTCCTTCATTGTCGTCGTAGTCGCTGTCTCCGTCGCTGCTACGGTTGCGGAGGCGAAGGGCACACAGCAAGTTACAGCAATGCAGACATCGACTGACATGCACATATACCTGCACACATAGAGGCACTATACTCGCATCCCTGCAAGCGACAGGTAAGATAAGCTCATTTATCGCTTACAGGTATCGGCTAATTAGTTAGCATTACATCACGCATCCTATGATCGTTACTGGGAAAATTCATCTTAAGAAAAGCTTAAGAATATGTGACATCAACCTGAGAGAGACAATACTATAACAAGTGGTTATTATGTCTTTAGAGATTATCTCAATGCCATTGTTGTTATTTGCATAAGCGAAACCATATTCCCTCTCCATGCAGATAGAGGAAAGTAATAAGAATCCACATTACCTTGCATAATATCTTTTCGTTCAGTTTCTACCTCAAAGTTTCTTGGTCATTGAAGATCCTGCATGGAGGTTATCTATGTTATTTATGTGCACTGCGATGACGCGGGTTTGATCGAATGCGAAAGAGCATACGACGATGACCTTACAAATGAAACATCTCTCTCCATCACCAATTCAACACTCAACACCTCAACACATACGAACACGGTAGTAATATCAATACTTCAATTATCCATGCCCTCCCCCGATTATCCTACAGACTCTTAAGATCCATCATTTTAAATGCTCCTACGAAAGACACCACAAAAAAGAGTTCAACCACTAACAGTTCACTGCAATTTGTTTTATTTATTGATACCTGTTACCTTCTTCAAATAACTTATCAATTTAATTCTTTAGAATTCATACCATTATTTTGACTCAGCCGAAAAGCGATAAATTTATTCCTTCTGACAGCATTAATAAATCCAATTATATAAATTGATCCAAATATTCGACAATCTCACAACGAAAAAGAAATCTTTCGAAATGGTTTACTTCTAACTTTAAATGAAATGTATGCTACTCTTTTTTTTACCGTTATTATAGGAAATTTTGCTGTAACATGGAAGTGATTATATATTTTCAGACTGAATTCCTATATATGAGTACGGTTTAAATTGATTTCATGCAATAAAACCGGTTGTCTCAGAACTATCGCATGTTTCAAATTTTTGAGCCATGCTCTTTGAACATCTCTAATTAATCAAAGGAGGAACAATTCAAGAATTTTTCAATCTTTTCATACTTTTTACCACTTGCATGCTCGAATTTTCGCTAAGAAAAGCGTTTACATTTGTTTATCGAATACTTACCAGTTTGCCTGATCCGAATGGACCAATAGACCAATCATTTTTTTTTCAGCTTGTTTCTAATTTCTTGAAGAACGTCTTGTCGCAATTAGCTAACCATAATTCCGATGTCCAGATTAATTTTTGATTATGTTCTACGCAGTTTGCCAGTTTTTATAAACAGAAGTGGAGATGCTGCACTTTGAAAACAGAATGCTTTATTAGCGAAGTATTGCTCGATACTTGAGAATTGGTATACAGAAGGAAAATAAATTTTCTCGAAATATGAACAGGAGATTGTGAAAAAGAGTTCAATATGTATAACATTCTTGTTTGTCTAACGGATGGTCAAATTTTGAAATGCCGAAATGTATTAATTGCGTAACATTATATACACATACCGCTAGGAAATTGCGAACAGTTCGAGCTAAACGAAATTTGCTAGTTAATTCCAACCGCCTCCGCCTTATTTGCACTTTTAATCCTTTCTGCCATCATTTGCTACATTGAAGTGGAGCGAAAAATATGAATAATTTGTAGTTAAGCACAGTTTTAATGAAGTAGAGATGTGAAAAAGCCCTTAATCGTGATAGTATCGCTAACACTATTAACAGATTAACTTCATGTTCGGAAAAAGTCGATTCATTAGCTGGTCTAAATTTTGAGAAAGGAGCAACAAGTTTTATAAAAGGAATATTTTGTTCTACGATAGAAAATCATCACTTCAATAGATAAGAGAAACAAAAAATCCTTCTGCAGAAATCATTGTGTTATATCACAAATGTATTTCTTTCAGCATTTCATTTTATTCCGAAGATATGAATAAGGCAGTAAAATCAAAACCGCTGCATCTCGATAGATTATCTAGATAATTAAAAGAAATTTACATAAATATCAGTTAACAGTGATTATATTTACAGTAACCTGGAGAAGTGGCATTTTTAGCTAAGATATCTTACAGTCACATTCATTTGGCAGATCTAATTGTACTTCCTTGTCATGACATTTCGTTCTTAACGACAAATGCTTCGAACGTCGGAGAAAACTGCCCGGTCGATTGATACCTTTTGAACTGCCATCTTTAGCTTTGCTAACCTGCAATTATCATGCAAAGAGTTTTCCTGTCAAAGTCTCAAGCATTAATTCAAGTGGTATCCAACTTTACAGATCATAATTAAGCTGCTTATATACTTCCATACATTATCAGAGTTTGAAAAATTTGTTTAAAAATAAGAATGAGTGTAGAGGGAACACAGCACTTTGGAAAAAACAATCTTTGATAACGACGAACAAAATTTGCAAACTGGGAAACAATTATTTGGTGTTCGAATGAATTTCCAGTTCGAGTGAGTGGACAATTCAGAATTTATAAAAATCCCAGCATAGATTAGCTCAGATGAAAGGGTTTTTGGAAGAATAAGGCGCATCGTCACACCATCTTTTTCATCTGGAGCAAAGTTTTTCCATCCGATTTTCAACAAATGTTAATTGAAACTTTCAGAATAAAATTGCTTCAAAATTTATGTTTGCATTCCAAAAAAGGATTCGAAATTGTTCTTGGAACTTACGGTATTCGGTTATGTAATGTAGCAATAGTACTTACCGGTAATGACCAGTTTCGACTAAGCTTCTTTGATGGCGAGATCTCACAAAGTTGCAATTTTTGCTGTTTTGTCCACTTCTGAAAAAATTTCTGCAAATGTTTATCAATTTATAAATTGCGATTTTAATACATCAAGGGGGAGAGAAAGAGGAGAGGAAGAGAATATAAAAGCGAGAGAGAAGCATTTTGTTGGGAATCGATAGAATTAACAAGGTCACAAAAAAGCATAGAGCAAACTAGTGACCGATTAAGTACATTTGAATATCAATCAACGGTTAAGGATAAGAGAAATACTGAAATCCACAAACAACATACTGAATGTTCTGGATTACATACATGGAAGTACTTTGAAAGAAAAAACAAAAACAGTCATCTCTGACTTACTTCTTCATCCAATAAATCACTTTGTTCCAGAAAATTTCGGAATATTTCCACTATGTTATAGTTCATCTTTGCAGAGGATTCGACATAACTTATATTGAAATTTAAACGTTGCATCCATGCTTGAACTGTTGCATCAAAGATCTAAATCGTCATCAGAAATCTGAACGATACTGAATTAATGTTAGGAATTTTCTTCCAGTTATTGAAAACATTTCGGAAACATAATGCTACTGATTGATGTCATGAATTTAAGTACTTTTTGAGAAGATGAATCGCATTTGTTCCCAACAATAACAGTTGGAAGAGTTCGAGCATCTTTTCGTTGCTGCACAATCTGTGACCATATGTCACTCACCTGAATTTATGATTTTGGGAATCTCTGAATGTTAAAAAAAAACTTTTCAGATCTTTTTCTTGCACAAGATTTCTCGCAGTGCTTGGGATATGGTAAATTCCAATTGAAATCATAAGAACCTGCTTGAAACTAGACACATCATTGACATCAAAGACAAGCATAAATGCATTGGCAGATGTTATTGCAATTTCGCGCATGCCTGGATAGTCAAAATTTGTATCCAGAATTTCCAGTGATACTTCCATCCCCTATTTCAACATAATAATTTTCACTGTTCGAAAAAACGAGACAGAAAAAGAAAAACCAGAAAATTACTGGAACAATAGAAGAAAGTTTCATCAAACAAGCACTAAAGTAGCAAAAACCCGTATATTAAAATCTCTCGAATAAAGATCCTCAACGGTTTCTTTGTATTTTTCATCGAAAGTTCCATGAAGATAGCGTCGAATGATTGATGTTTTCCCCACTTTTCCAGGACCCAATACAACTAGGCGGAATCGTTTTTCTTCCGTTTCCATATCTTGCAGGAAAGATGACGTTGTTTTTAATTAAAGTGTATATTCCACTTCTATTATCATAAACGATTTTATATGCTCCACGCTCTGGAAAAAGTAATCACTCGTAAGTCAAGCTTTTATATCGAACTTCTAATAAGTTCCCCGGATTTAATTATCTGAGCTATCGTTAGTTAAAAACATCTAGCTTATCTCTTTCTACTTTTATTTTCCACTACTTTTATTGACTATTGCAATATGTTTATGGTCACTTCGAGGAAACATAAGCTTTTGCAATTGTAAAATCAATGTTTGCATAAATAATGCAATAAAATTGATTCCCGTCCACTCCTTAGCTGCATTTACTACAGCCCCCGTTTTACTTTATAAATTTCTCACACCACAAAAGATGTGAAAGTAACGAGAAAAAGAGAAAAACATCAAAAAAGACTAAAAGGGAAAGAAAAGAATATTATCATTATTTGTTACCACTACTTTTTCATACCCACTGAATTATTTTCAAACCTCTGGCTTGAGGTTTGAAAATAATTCAATAGGTGTGAAAAAGGTTTGAAAAAAATAATTAAATGACAATGAATACAATAACAGCCACAGAGCTGGAGTAGAACTGGTGAGACAACGTTAAAAAGATTTGAAAAGCTACAGCTAAGAAGTTATTGGGAAACACCGAAGTTAGTCAGCTGAAGATAGGCGATTCAAGCTGCCAACAGTCTTCTCTGAAAAAGACTGAATGAAATGATTTTCAGAGCTTGCTAGAAGGTTACATTACCCTGTCGTGCTCAGAAACCAAGAATCGCGCTGCTGCTTTAGCATTGTGCATTAAATAGATGGTTAGGTTTTATGCATTTGATGGCAACAGCAAAAGAAACAAGAAGAATGATCTGAAAGATCGTCAAATCATTTCCCCCAAATCTGAAAGCATTAAAAATCTATTAAACGCATGCAGGAAACCAAATGGATAGCAAAATAAGTTTTACAAGTGTCACTTTTGCTTTATTTCCACCCTGCGTTTTTCTCGTTGCAGTAACCGGAAATACTTTTCCCTCGTTCCTCATGAAATTTTCTTCCGTACTATTCAACAGCCAACAATTTGTTGTGAGAAAATTCCAGGTGTTGGGAATAAGGAGCATAATGAGAATTTAACCCAGACAATAAAACCAAAATCCGATGCACTCGAAAATCATCGGGAAAATAAATAACTCCGCGTTGTCTTAATTCTATAAACAAAATCTTTCGAAAAATAATATCATAATGATTTGATGATTAGATCTATATCGAAAGTAAAAGTAATACTAACGGTAACACAATCTGCAGCTGGTGATGAAAGAAGTGAGGGTTATATATGTTATTATTACAAAATAATTTTCGAAATCCTCATAAAACATTTTAGAATTAAAAAACAAAAAGAAAAAACTTTAAATAATGTAATGATAATCTCATAACTTAGTTATTGCATTGTTTTAATCTATAAATGGTGGGAAAAAAATCTGTCAAATGCTTCAAAGGTCGAGAAGCAAAAGGAATGGAGCGGTATGTATATTGAAAAGGAAACCATGGAAATGCTTCATTTTGTTTGCAGAGTTGGACAGAAAAGGAAGAGGGAATGAGAGAAAGGAATAAAAATACATGGCTACTATTTGTTTTGAGCGTAAAACACCTGGAAGTATAAGGTGACAAGTCTGCTTCCTTTCTGACATCGCAACTTTTCAAAGATGTTACTTGCTGAGGAGTGTCTCCTCTTACAACAAACCATATGAGTGTCGCCGTTCAAGAAATGACTACTGGATCTACACGGCAGCTAAGCTTTTGCAATTTGTGAAGATTATAGGAAAGATGTGAACTAACAAGGGACATACTCAGTTCCAAATAATAAAAATTCAAACACTCTGCTTCAGAAGATATTAGAGACGCCCTGAGCACATTGTTTTTTTCCTCCCAATTTATTTCAACTTTCCACTTCAAACAATTTAAAGACAGATAAAATAAATGAGCGTTACCTTACTTAATATGATTTTTCCCGAGGTTTTCTAATTGTTTTGATATAATCAACGAAGAAAAAAGAATAAATTCAATGTCATAGAGGAAAAAAATTCTGAATATTAAGTTTAGCCTCAATATTAAAAATTTTATTTCCATCATCTTGCCTTCCAATTCTTCCATTTATTTTTATACAAGTCTGATAACAAAAAAGTCCTCGAAGTCCTAATTTTCGATTCAAATGCACTTTATAAATATTAAGATGTCGTAATTGCAACCAGCACTTTTTGGCATAGAAGTTCAACAAATCTTACACATACCGTTGATTGATTGAAATTGAATAAGCTTCGAAGAGAAGATTGAAATTGAATAAGCTTTGAATAAGCTGCAAATTCCAACTCATCTGTTATCTGGCCGGTCCTTAAAATTGCTGGAAAAAATACGGACAACAACAGGCCCCATGGAATTAAAAAACTATGCTTGTATAAATTCCAGACCCTCATGTACTTCGTACCAATTTAGTAAGCTATTAGATTATGTCGCTCAGTTTGTCCCAATCCGGCTCAGTTTACCAATGCAGAATTTGTTATTGGAATGATCTGGAACACTATTAAAACACCACCGATAAGTGATTACGTGGGTCAGAATATTTTGTGACAATTCTAATTTCCAATGAAGATGGTAATTGATTGCCTTCACAGTAGGCATGCTTATGTGAACAGCTGAGGAAGAATCGAAATCAGACATTACCTGCAAATCTCTTCAGGACTACACTTTTAACATATACTGGATATCGTATGTATAATCGTCCTGATTGCCTCATCAAGATGACTGGGACGACAACTGAATACAATTCTAGAAGGAAAGATTCGACGGTGAGGTTATAACGTCATTGACAGCTGTACTCTTACCTTCTTCCGGTCAGTCTCATCGTTTGTACTGCAGAAATGCATCGTTCAATAAGTTAATTTTAATCGCTAAAAATGACCTGTACTATTCCATCGCAAATTACATACAGTTTTGCGGCGCTTAGTTATTAGTAGTTAATCGGTATATTTGTTGAATCTCGTCATTCTGGAGTGACATGTTTTTTGGGTCAGAATTAGAAATTTTTTAATCATTACACTACGACCTTGTTGGCCACTAAAAACTGATGACAAACGGTCTTCTGGTCATCAAAAACTTGTAGATGTTTATTTGGAACAAGAAAAGGACACACGCACATATATATATACACTATAACATGCACTATACATTGACATGCAGCACGCATACTGATGTTGTGGAAATATTTCTTAAACAATTAAATGGGAGAACGCGCTCAAAAATTTAACGCGAGCGCGTTGGTCCCAAAGCGAAATGTGCACGCAACGCAGGTGGCATTTACCATTTTCATTATATTGCATAGCATGCAAATGCGTGGGGTATGTTACGCAATGGCCGTTTAATAGTAGTTACATGAGGTGGTAGTACCGAAGTTTGCGGATGTGATTGGTAAGCAGAGATTACAGGCTTGCATATATTATTTTGCTGTATAGTATGGATTTAGCTAATTATTTTTGTTCGTTTACCTTCAGCTGTTAAAATTATTCTGGATACTTTAAATTATTTCAGGTATGTCTGTCTACTGGTCGCTGAATGTGTAGTAATTCAGCGAGCTACGATGAGCCCTGAGAAGGGGAATAGTCGATATCAAGCTGGTAAAGTTTCTATGTTATTTCATCATTTAAAAGTAACTTATTCTAATAGATTCTGAATTGATATAACTGAAAATTAATGAAATGAAAGGCAGAATTGAGAACGAAGATCATATTTAAATATCGTTTAACTTGGTTAAAAAGAACCAATATTTTCCTTTTAACAGAACCTCGTAGAACGGAGACACGGAGTACTGCAACACCAAGTCTGAAAAGTAGTCCAAGTGGTTGTAGGATATACGCTTCAACTTCACCCTATAAAACCAGGTATTTGTTGCCTTATGTTATGTTTATTATATTTCTGAAAACTGTTTATGCCATAATTCATTCGTAGTTGAAGTAAGCATAGAAGATGGATCTATTGTTTAAATATTATCTTTGTTCTCTCTGTTAATTAATGTAGTGGTATTAAGCAGAATGTAGCAGTTTACTGTTCTGGATGCTTCGTTTGTTTTCAAAAGACTTTGTGGTTTTGGTGCTGTGGTATGAATGCGTGCTTGATATTATAAGACAAAAGAAAGATTTAAACATGTTTTTTAGGCAACAGAGCAATGGAATAACAACAGAGAAGACTCGTTACACACCCGATTTTGCACCGGTACGTCCGCGGCGGGGCTCAGCAGCTGTTATCATACCTCCTTTTCCAACAATACCATCTACTGCCGCAGGAAGTAACTTGTAGTTTCATAGCACTTAACGTTTCCATATTTCATTTGGATAGAGTAACAGAATATTTCGTAAATCTGTGAAATAAATTCCACTATTTTTGTCTATTTCATCTTTTCTATTGTCAGTATTGCTGTAATGGATTCAGAGAAGAAAGGACGTCGCAGTAGAGATGACGATAGTGATGATGATACTGCAAGTAGTAGCTCAGGTCCCATTAATGCCAAACGAACTCGCTTATGTTACAACAAGAATGATATTAAAAATGTGGAAATAGTTGTTGATGATATTGTACCGGAGATCGAAGAAATTATGCAACAGAATAATATAGTTAAGGTGTTTTTATGCAGCATTATTCAGCAGGACATATGTCTCTACAAAATTTGTGAAGACATCATTTTAGGAAAGTTTTTATACCCAATCTTATAATTAAAGTCGCAGTGGTCATTCGTATATGTGAGATTTGCATTATTCTCTTCGTTATTGCAGGACACTTCACATGATGCGCCGACAGAACGACAACCTCAGAAGAAGACAGATTCCGATTTGGAACAGCATTTCAAAAGTTCGTTCTATTGCTTATCCATTTTTAGCGATGTTGGTGAATAAAGCTTTATTGCCTGTTTGAAATTTACCTTTCCTTATTAACTAATCAAAATAATA